GCGCTTCTTGCTCCGATACGACGAATTTGAGACGGGGTGAGAGCTGACGGACGGCAACGGGAAGCGAATTAAGATGGGAAAAGACAGCGAGCCGCTGCGGTCGGGGAAGGGACGAGCCTTGAACGTGAAAGTAGCGCAGACATGCCTCGCGCTGCACGTCTCACACCAGTTCACACACTTTGCGGCGACGGACGGAGGAAAGGACCATGAAGACAAAAGGGCGGAGGATGGAAAGTACGTGCCGAACCCTAGGGTGGCGTACGGCGTGTTCGAAGGACCGACACGATTCGGAAAGAGCGTCCCGGGAGACGCACAGGTAAAGGATCCCAACGGAATCGGACCCTGTGAAGAAGGGGAGATACGGATAGCGTTTGGGGCGGGAATGTGGGGAGGAAAGCTGCCGAACATGTGGGAGCCGATAGACGCGGAGATGTACGCGATACTCGCATACTTACGCAAAATGGCGAGCGCGAGCGACGCGCAAGCGCGGCGGTGCTTAGTGCTATGCGACTGCAAACCCGCGCTGCAGCAGATTGAGAATGCGCACCGCAAGGGGATGCCAGAAGGCCTGAGGGACTGGGAGAGAGGCGGACTGCTGGAGGCGATCGCTTACTATAGATCGAAGCTAGAGGCGGTGGTCTTCATGTGGGTGCCAGCACACGTGGGAATAGCCTGCAACGCTTACGCCGACGCGGTGGCGACAGCACACCTCGGGGATAACGACACGGAAGACGCCTCGAAAGTGGTGCGGGACGCGGTGCGGACGCGGCCATGCATGTACACGGTGCGAAGGGAGGCGGCAGAGAACGCAGAGAAGAGGGAGATAGTGGACCGACGGACGTACGGACACATGTGTAAGAGCGCGCACGAGTGGGTGTGCGAGCAATATCGAAAGACAGTGAGGCCGGGGTCGCACACGGCAGGGGTGGCGGGACGGTTGTGGAGCGAAGTGGCAGTAGCCAGCCTCAAGCATCGATGGGATAATAAGATGAGATTACCAGACGAGAACGGGGGGAAGGACAGGCGGGCGACATTTGACGACGTCGGGGATCACAATGTGACGACCAAAACGATCTTGGGGGCCAGGGTGAGACAACAGGTCGGGGTGCCACATGGGGCACACCACAGGCGTATTCTAGAGGGGGAAAAGAAACGGGGAATGAGGGGCCCCGCCACGAGAAGTGCGTTCTGGGGATGCAGAGCGTGCAAAGCGGCTAGGGATGAGGTCGCAAAAGAGGCGCGCGAGGCAAGGAGGAGACGCGGGGAACTGAAAGACTGGGACGACTGGAAACAAGAAGACAGTGAGCCACCACAGGCGTCGTTGGCGCACATACTGAGCGGCAGCTGCGCTGGAAATAAGGAAGAGGCGCGTCACTTCATGCGGAAGCTCGACAAACACACAGCGAGGGCGACAGCAAGAGTTGAACGGGAGGCGCCGGACTCAAAAGACACCGCCACATTCCTGAGACGAGCGAGGGCAGCCTCCTTAAAGGCGAAAGGGTCTAGATTTGGGGCGCTCGCCGAAGAGGAGTACGACAAAATAGCACCCGTGATTGCCTGCACGCTACCCGCACTCACGGACTCCATACCCGAAAGAAAGATAAGGGAGCTCGCGGGAGAGGTGACGAGTGAACTACAGGTAGTGGGGAAGGCAGCCTCGATTGCCATACAGACATGGGTGCGAAACAATGACAAGACCAAGGCACGGGCAGAGGAACGAGAGAAGAATATAGGGTGGATAAAGCGCCTGTTCACGGCATGGAGGGTGAGCCACACCGAACGTACCGAGCGAAGGGCCGAGCGGAAGGAGGACGGGGAAGATGACTCAGAGGAGAACGAACCAGTGGAAATTCAGTTGTCAGATGTCACGATGCACCCGAAGGGGACCCCAGCGCCGGCATCATCCGTAGAGGCACGAGTGTTCGAAGAGAGAGTGGACCTGAGCAACAACATGACGTGTAGGCAAATGATCGGAGTGGGAGTCAGAAATGTGGTCCTTGCGCGAGGGGAGCTTGATAGACTCGAGGGGCCAGGATACGCCGCGAGGAGGACGGAGTTGCGCAAGGCGAAAGAAGCCGCGAGAACAAGGGACCGGCAGGCGGCGGCGTCGCAGGACGAGGCAGAAGAGAACGACGCGACAGAGGAGGAAGTGACAAGGGAGAGAACGACGAGAGTGGGACGGCCGCGAGGTGGCATGAAGGTTGCAGCGAGAAGCGGCGAGAGACTGCGAAAAGAGATACGAAGAGGCAGACTCCCCAGGGTGGGCGACGGCTAGCGCACCACACTCCTCTCCTTAAAATCCCTGTGTGGTGGCGGCGTGCCGTTCTCCCATCCCTCCCTTGGGTTGTGTGTTTTCTTTCTTTCTTTCTTTTTCATCCGCGTCGCGCGCCACGCGTCGCTCCGCGAGGGCGCGCGCCAACCGCGATTCGAACCGGGGCCAAAAGGCGCCTGGAGCGACCGCGGTCCGGTCGCGCCACCGCGGCTGCGGGGCTGATAGAGCAGGCCGGCTGCGGCTCCTAATGTACCTCCGCTTTTGGGTGGCGGTCGCGCGCTGCCGACGGCGCTCGCCGGCGCTACGGCGCTCGCGGCGCGCTCGTGGCGTTCAGGGCGGCTCGCACACGCACACACACACACACACACACACACACACACACACACACATGCACAGACACACAGCCCCTTCCCCTCCCCCCTCAAGGGCGAGGACACGCACAGGCCGCACCTCTAGTGAGGCCCGCATAGTATGTGGGAGACTCGTGCCGCCGCCCCTGCCACCCCTGTGTCAGTGTGCCTGTGGTACGAGAGACTGCCAGCGACAAGCTGGAGGCAGGTCGCTAGACTGAGATGAGACCGCCAGTGGATGTGGGAGTCCACCGCGCACCGCGCTGCGAGTCTATCGTGTCCCTTGTCAGGAGCAGGAGAGCCCCACCTGTCCCCCTGATCGTTCTTCCAAAATCCTGCTCGTGCAGGTGTGGACCCTGTCCTCGTCCCATCCCTCGTTTGGCGTGTCTGTTTTCTTTCTTTCTTTTCATCCGCCTCGTCCGTAGAGGCACGAGTGTTCGAAGAGAGAGTGGACCTGAGCAACGATATGACTTGGCGGCAAATGATTGGAGTGGGAGTCAGAAATGTGGTCCTTGCGCGAGGGCCGAGGGGAGCTCGATAGACTTGAGGGGCCAGGATACGCCGCGAGGAGGACGGAGTTGCGCCGAAAGGCGAAAGAAGCCGCGAGAACAAGGGACCGGCAGGCGGCGGCGCCGCAGGACGAGGCAGAAGAGAACGACGCGACAGAGGAGGAAGTGACAAGGGAGAGAACGACGAGAGTGGGACGGCCGCGAGGTGGCATGAAGGTTGCAGCGAGAAGCGGCGAGAGACTGCGAAAAGAGATAGGAAGAGGCAGACTCCCCAGGGTGGGCGACGGCTAGCGCATCACACTCCTCTCCTTAAAATCCCTGTGTGGTGGCGGCGTGCCTTCTCCCATCCCTCCCTTGGGTTGTCTGTTTTCTTTCTTTCTTTTTGGGGTGTCTGTTTTCTTTCTTTCTTTCTTTGGGGTGTCTGTTTTCTTTCTTTCTTTCTTTCCTCCCTTGATAAGGGAAAGAACGACGAGAGTGGGACGACCGCGAGGTGGCATGAAGGTTGCAGCGAGAAGCGGCGAGAGACTGCGAAAAGAGATAGGAAGAGGCAGACTCCCCAGGGTGGGCGACGGCTAGCGCATCACACTCCTCTCCTTAAAATCCCTGTGTGGTGGCGGCGTGCCGTCCTCCCATCCCTCCCTTGGGATGTCCGTTTTCTTTCTTTCTTTCCTCCCCTTGGGTTGTCTGTTTTCTTTCTTTCTTTGGTCACGGGACTGAACAGGGCTCCAGGCCCCAAATCACGTGTGAGTGTTAGAGTTGTTTGGTATTGCTAAAGATCTCTCGGGACTGGCGCGCACTGGCACTAACACAGGTACACAACGGGAGCCGGAAGAAGATTTTCCCCAGTCGCGTGTTAGTGCCAGTGCGCGCCAGTCCCGTGCCCAGACCCCAGTGTCGAGAGAGATTTTAGAAAACCAACAAGAAATCACGACTCTGACAGGGATTTGGGCTCGGCAGCTTGTTAGCCCTCTCCGTGTCGTGCGATCAAAAGAGAATTTTAACAACGCCAACTTTGGAATCTTCATAGAATCGCAGCGCGCATCCCTTCCCTGCTTGCCTGCTTTCTTTCTTTCTTTCTTTCCGTGTCTCTGTGGCATCCTTCCGAGAGAGAGATTTTTAGCAATACCCGATACCAACACTCACGTTTGTTTGTGTCCTTCCGTGTGTGTACACACACACACACACACACACACACACACACACACACACACACACACACACACACACACACACACACACACACACACACACACACACACACACACACACACACACACACACACACACACACACACCACATCCCTCGGGTTGCTATCGACCAGAAATCGGGAGAGAGAGGGACAGGGCAGCATGGTACCCGGGTAGACCCCGTCTGTTGTACACATGCATGTTTGTGATAGAGAGTTGTTTTGTTTTTGTTGCATGTTTGTTGCATGTCGGATATATTGTGCTGTACACAATCAAACCCTCACGGCTCGGAGGTTCATATCGCTAGGGATCCGCGAATCTCCCTCTTAACCCACACTTAACATCACAATAGGGGATCCCTAGGCCGCCAGAGAGCTGCGGCGTGTGTGCGACTCTCTCTCAGAGGCGCGAGGCAGCTGGAGAGAGAGAGAGAGAGAGAGAGAGAGAGAGAGAGAGAGAGAGAGAGAGAGAGAGATGAGAGAGAGATGAGAGAGAGACAGAGGCCGTTGATGCATTTGACAAGTTGTACGAGGTGGTTGGTGGTCGGAATGGGGCTGCTCGTGGCTTCTCGTATCTGACCGCCTCGACGACAATCGACACTGAAGGCAAAGTCAAATAATATCTTTCTCTGACGGCTCAGCGGAGTCGGTGTCAGCAGAGTCGGCCTTGGAGTCAGCATTCTCACCGTCGCGCGCGGCACTGCTCACGCTCGCGGCGCCGTCAGCCTGACTGAGCCAACGGCCGCCGTGGTGGTGCCCCTCGTCGTACGAGTCGTCGTCATCGTCATCGTCGTGGTGGTGGCCGTACGATGAGCTGCCAGACCACTCCTCGTAGACCGGCTGCCCGTAATGGCTGTGATCAAAGGAACCGGCGCCGCCGGTGGTCCACTCCTCGGTGATCTCCTCGTAGACCAGCCCGTTTCCAGAGTTGCGATCAGACACGTACGAGTCGCAGCTTTGCCGCCCGCCTTGGCGCCATTGGCCGTAGCAGCAGGTGAAGCCCTGATCGCCGCTCAGGAGCGAGCCGATGTCCGTGCCACCGGGCGCGTCGGGCGGGCAGAACTGTCCTTGGACGCTGCAGTCGTAGCCGCGGCAGGAGGTCGCGTCAGGAGGCCCGAACGAGTCCACGCCGCCATAGTAGCTGCCGCTCGAGGGCGCGTGGTAGTGGACGTGGTAGTTGCTCCTCTTCTCCGCCGGGGCCTCGACAGGGCGGGCGTCCGTGTCGCTCTCCTTGTTCTCTGCTTCCTCTGCGCCAAGGCTGCGGCCGCCGTGAGCGTGGTAGTACTCGTTCGAATCCTGGTGGGTCGAGCCATAGTTCGAGTGGTAGTGGTCGTGGTAGTGGTCGTCATGGTAGTCGTGGTGGTCGTTCTCCTGCCGTTCAGGCTTGCTGTCGTGCATCTCGTCGATCAGCTCGTGCGCCTCGTGGTGAAGCATATCGATCGCGCCCTCCTTGTCGCCGACGGCGCCGAGCATCATGGCGCCGAGCAGGTGGCCGTCGCCCAGGGACTTCTCGTCGGGCACGGCGGGGACGGGCGCGGCGAGACTGGTGGCGAGGAGCGACAGCATTGTTCGTGGCGAGGGCTTGGTTGGAGCCGGATAAGGACGATTGGCGTATTACGCTGCTGGCGCTTGCTTCTGGTTTGGTCCTTTAGGAGCGCTGTGGCGGACAGTCGCGGCGATTTATCCTCCTTCCGTTTACCTCCGGTCAATTTAAGAAAGCCATGTACTGCCCTCCCGGTGCATCGCACGTCTCACTCATCAACCAGACACCTCGTTGCGTTTGTTTGGTTGTCTGTTGACAGCTCTCTCTCTCTCTCTCTCTCTCTCTCTCTCTCTCTCTCTCTCTCTCTCTCTCTCTCTCTCTCTCTCTCTCTCTCTCTCTCTCTCTCTCTCTCTCTCTCTCTCTCTCTCTCTCTCTCTCTCTCTCTCTCTCTCGCTCTCGCTCTCGCTCGCTTTCTCTCGCAGACGACGGGCCCCTCCACCCTTCGTGTAATCATGTAGTCCCTCTCCACATGTATGCATACGATACGAGACCGGAAATTTGGATTTTTGTTTTTTCGCAAGGTGCCGCAACCGGCTCTATTCTTGTTTTGTATCCGCTCTCTCTCTCACTCTCTCTCTCTCTCTCTCTCTCTCTCTCTCTCTCTCTCTCACACACACACACACACACACACACACACACAGAGAGAGAGAGAGAGAGAGAGAGAGAGATAAAACTTCTGTGATGCCATGCGTGACCTAGTAGTGTCCCCAGCTATGGGCGTGTCCACGTTGGAGCCAGGTGTGGTGTGGGCGCGAGAATAGCTCCGCCGTTCATGGAGGCAACCGATGCGAGTCGACTGGTGTGTGTCGTCGTGGTTTCGTATCAAGAATTCTCTCTCTCTCTCTCTCTCTCGAGGTGGATATCCTTTGGCCGCGTTGGGTAGCGAGGATTGGTGTAACCCAATCACACACACACACACACAAGGAAGAGTCTCACACACACACACACACACACACACACACACACACACACACACACACACACACAATATTGCTAAAAATCTCTCTCACACACACACACACACACACACCTCTGTGTCCCCACTCTCCGCGGTTCATTCTCCGCGGTTCATCCCTGCGCGAGGCCGCGTGGGGCGAGGCCAGCCTGAGTTCAGAAGATCCCCGCATGGCACCCGAGGCTACTCCCGCGAAGAAGGCCAAGTGGAGCGCCGCGCGAAAGAAGGCCGCCAAGGAGACCCGCTCGGCGGCGGCGGAGGAGGCGAGCGGCGGAGGCGGCGCCAAAAGACGGCGCTTCGCGGCGTCTGGCCGGTTGGTCCTCGCGGGCGCGGAGTGCGGCTACTGCGGCGCCTCAGCCACGTGCGAGGTTGACCCGCAGGATGAGTCGGCCGCGTACTGCCGCCGCTGCTGGAGCGAGTGGGAGCAGGGCGAGGAGGCGGAGCGGGCGCGTGAGGTCGCCGCCGCGGACTCGGCGCGTCGGCGCGAGCGCGCGGCGGCGCGCGGCGGGCACCGCGAGGAGCAGCAGCTGAGCGAGGGCGTCGTGCCGGGTATGCTGCTGCAGCGGCGGCGGCTGTTTGCGCTGCTGCTCGAGAGGCGGGAGGCGGGCGTGCTTCTCGAGGACGTGCCGCGGCTGCTGTGGCCGAGGCTGCGCCGCGAGGGCATCACCTGGTCGGACGCGGAGCTTCGCGGCCTGCGGGCCTGCACCGCCGACTTTGTGACGACGGCGCGGCCCGACGGAGGCGGGGGCGGAGTCGTGCTGCGGCTGGCGGAGCACGTGAGCGCGCCCGGGCCGGCCGCCGGGCTGGCCGCGCCTCCGCGAGTGCTCCTCATCCTGGACGTCAACCACCTGCTCTGCGAGCGGCACCCGTGGAGCGCTCCCCCGCCCGCCGAGTCGGACCTGCTCGCCCACGCCCACACCTACCTCAAAGGGAACGCGCTCGTCTGGGAGCGGCCGTGGGCGCGCCCAGCCTCGAGGAGGGGAGGGGCTGGCTGAGCACTGACGGGAGGCCTCCTGAGCTGGTGCCTCCTGAGCTGGTAGGCGGCCCAGTTCATCGAGTGGTGCATGCGCCGCTTCGCGGTGGCCGTCTGGTCGTCGGGCAAGCGCAAGAACGTCCTCCCGATCGTGGCGCGCCTCTTCTCCTTCCGCCGCTGCCAGGCGCGCCGCCCTCCTCGCAGCACCCGTCCAGCGCCGCCCTCCTCGCCGCACCCGTCCAGTGCCATTCTCCTCGCAGCAACCGTCCAGTGCCATTCTCCTCGCAAAACCCGACCAGTACCATTCTCCTCGCAGCACCCGTCCAGCGCCGCCCTCCTCGCAGCACCCGTCCAGCGCCGCCCTCCTCGCAGCACCCGTCCCGGACGCAGCACCCGTTCCCCAGGACGCGTCCCCGCGACACGTCAGCGCCGTCCCTCGCCCCCGTACAGGCGCACCTCCTCTTCACGTGGGCGCAGGAGGAGTGCACCATCGACACCGGCACGATGGTCTCTGCAAGCAGTGGCGCCGCCGGGCCCGCGGGGGGGGCCGGCCCGCTCAAGCCGCTGATCCGCAAAGACCTCGCCCGCGTCTTTCGGCACTGGCCGGCCTGGGACGCGAGCTGCACCGCCATCGTCGACGACGACCCGCTCAAGTGCTCGCACAACGCGCCGCACACCGCCGTCCACCCGGCAAAGTGGCGCGCGCTCGCCCCGCCGCCCGGCTCCGCGCAGGAGCTGGCGCCGCACGGACCGCTCTGCGCGTACCTCGAGCGGCTCGCCGCGGCAGCTGACACGCAGGCGTTCATCCGCGAGACGCAGTACCACGCGCCCACACCCGCGCCCGCGCCCGCGCCGCCGGCGACGGCGGCCGCGCCGGAGCCAGCGCCTCCCGATCCTGCGCCCGCCGTCAGGGGCGGTGACATCCCATCTTAGGCCTACCTGTGCATCGTAGATGCAAAATCGCATCCTAGCATGCGATTTAGGTCACCGGTGTCTCAGCTCTCAGGACGATTTCATAGTTGAGCAAGATGCAGTTGCTTGTCCCGGCGTGGTGTCTTTTTGTTACACTTGACGTCGCTCTGATGCCCCGCGGATACGCGGCGGCTTTATTGGCATTTAGCCGCTCGCAATTCGGAGCGGAGCACACTTGCGGACTTGGTCTTGGAGTGCGGTTTTAACTTTTATCGTTGCCAAAATCGAATTGCAAATACAAATATTTGCCTCTCACATCTCGGCACACGTGGGGCACCAGGGGCGCAGGGCCGCCCCGGGTGGCTGCGCCCTGCAGGGCCACGGCTCGAGGCCACGGCAAGCTAGGAGTGCTTTTTAGATTTAGTGCACAGTCATCAACTACCGGTCGAGCTCGAGGATCATGGTTCGTGCATCATCTGGCGTACGTCGTGCGGTTTCTTGCGGCGTAAAATTCTTTTTCGCTGCTGCTGTTCGAGTCGTCCTCGGTTGGGTTCGGGAGAAGGGGGCGCAAGGGGGTCGGCGACGGCGAGATCCTCTGCCTCTGGAAGGCGGCGAACGTGCTGCAGAACAAGCTGACGCGGGCCCAGTACCTCGATGAGGTGACTTGGACCACCAAGAGTTGCTAGGGCTGCAGAAGCAGCGTATCTCAGTCGTTCTTCACACGGCAATCACAGAGCAGGTCGTGAATGAGGGCTTGCCTGCGGCGAGGGCGGTCGAGTGCACGGAGCTAAGTGCCTCGCCGTCCTCGCAGGAGTCGCTTAGGCGGCTCCCGTGGTGTACTTGTGTGTTAGTGCCAGTGCGCGCCAGTCCCGTGCCCAGTAATAATAAATAGAATAATAAATAAAAGGACACGCCAAACGACATACCTAAAACGAGGGGTGGGAGAAGAGGACAGGGTCCCCACATGCACGAGCATGAAAGAAAGAAAAAAAGAAAACAGACAACCCAAACGAGGGATAGGGAAGGAGGACAGGGTCCCCCACCTGCACGAGCAGGATTTTGGAAGGACGATCAGGGGGACAGGTGGGGCTCTCCTGCTCCTGACAAGGGACACGACAGGCTCGCAGCGCGGTGCGCGGTGGACTCCCACATCCACTGGCGGTCTCATCTCAGTCTAGCGACCTGCCTCCAGCTTGTCGCTGGCAGTCTCTCGCTACCACAGGCACACTGACACAGGTGGGTGGCAGGGGCGGCGGCAGCCGAGTCACCCACATACTATGCGGGCCTCACTAGAGGTGCGGCCTGCGCGTGTCCTCGCCCTTGGGAAGGTCTTGAGGGGGGAGGGGAAGGGGCTGTGTGTCTGTGCATGCATGCATGTGTGTGTGTGTGTGTGTGTGTGTGTGTGTGTGTGTGTGTGTGTGTGTGTGTGTGTGTGTGTGTGTGTGTGTGTGTGTGGAGCATGTGATCTCGATCAACAGCGGTCCGAGAATTCTTTTCGCTCGGGCTTCCATCGCTCCATCGCTGGCGAGTAGAGACCACGCCTGCTATTCACAGCACAAGCCCTCGCCGGGGGCCTCGGGCATGTTCCAGACGGATCCCCCCCTGTGAATCGACAAAGACCCGGACGTCTCGCAGCTCTTCTACAAGCTACTGCGCTCGCGCAACGGCACCCCGTACTATTGGATGCGGACTCTCACCTGCCCCACGTCATCGTGCCCGTCCTCAACACGGTGGTGCTCCCGCGGCTGCGCACCTCCTTCGAGATCCTCGCTAGGGCAAACGGCACGCCCACAGAGGAGCTCGACCGCGCCTGGGAGGAGGTGCAGCTCTCGGTGGCGAAAGGCGGCTCAAACATCGGAGGGCACGCCGACGTCGCCGACGCGTGCTTCGTCGCCGCCTTCCTCGCCGTCTGGCCATCGCTACGTGATCTTACGTGACAGGCCGGCCTACCAGGGCCACGCCCTCGCTGGCGGCGGCGCACCGCCCCTCGTGCAACCACCTCTGCTCGTCTACTTCAACAAATACTACAATTCCATCCGCGACCGCTGCATCAAGCTCTGGGGCGTCTACCGCGCCCGGGCCAAGCATGTCGACTTTGGGATGGTCAACAACTACAACCTTGGGTACTACCGTCCGGCCGGCCTCCCGCTCGTTAGCAAGATGCCGCCCGTCTCCGACCTCTACTCTGAGCAGAGCACTTCTCCAGTCCCTAAACAGGGCACGCTCGCTCAGATTGCGTCGCACGAGCGGTGGCTTCGCTGCCTCGCCGCCTGCGAGCGGCTGGATGCTGAGATGGACGACCCGGAGGGCGTCAAACATCGGGAGGCGACACGCTTCATCGCCGTCTCTCAGTTCGCCTCGGGAGCATGGCTCGACCTCTGCCCCAACGGCCGGCACTCCTCCAAAATCACCTCGGAGGTTTTTGCCACGGCGCACTACATTTCCAGCGCCAAGTACGTGTACGACGCCAAGGAGGCGGCTGGTGAGACAGTCACCATCGGTATGCGGAAGGGCGACCAGCTTGCAAACGGATCGAAGGACATTCCGTGCGAGCACAACATTCGTCACAACGGCACCATGTATGCGGCGGCCAACATGGTCCGTGCACGAGCCTGCGGCAAGCTCGTGCTCGGTGACAAGGCGAACCCTCAGACGACTTTTCATCTCAACGAGGGGCACGTCACCGACATGTGTGCTGCATGTGTGTGAGATCGGCGGGGACCTGCAGTCCCAGCGCGATGTCCACTACGAAGTCAAGGTGCCTAGCGCCCTCACAAAGACGAGGCAGGCTGGGCAGGGCTCGGCGGCACACGGCGGATGCTGTGCGTCACTGGGCCACAAATTTGGTTTCGGCGGCACCCTCGACCAAACCTTGCTCAGGGTTCTTGGGTGCAAAGAGCGCGGCCACAAGTCACAGGGCCCGCTCGTCCATGCGACCGGCAAAGGCTGGGTCAAAGAGCACAAGGGACAGTACTACGACGCGCTCCATGTCAAGAACGGAATCGTCAAAATTTGTCTCGTCGAAAGCCAGGGCGGCATCGCGCCGCCGACCAAGAGAATCATCCACAACTTCGCCAAAGAGGTCGGCAGCCCGAGCGCCGTCGACCGCACCGACTACGGCACAGCCTCCGGCAGCGCCCGGGGCTTCGCCCAGCACCACTCGCAACAGCTCTCGCGCGCCGCCGTCTGTGGCGACGCGCAAAACATCAACAACGCTGCTCGCAACATGCGTGTCGCGCACTCATTCATGACCGGTCTCAATGTCCCACCCCCCTGCGCGCGGGCCTTCTAGGCCCGCGGGTAGTCTCACCCCATCCCCAGGGCCTCCAGGGCTCGCACCTCAACCTCTCACAGACCAGCGCATTGCCATCGGGCGTATTTTCTTGTCAATAACAAGGCTGTGAAAAAGTGAGGCGTGGTCTCTACTCGCCAGGCTGCCATGCTCACTCCCCTCTTCGCCAGCGGCCTCGTCGTGCTGCTCGATGAGGCCGCGCCTTCCACCATCCGCGCTGGCCGCGTGCACGTCGAGCGTGGCTTTGCGCCGCCGCGGCTTGTGCAGGACCTGCGTCACGACGTCGACTGCCTCACGACAGCGGGCCTCTTCGAGCGCGCCTTCTCTGGAGGCACGAGCAGCGGCGACGACGCCTTCCGCAATGCCGAGATGTGCGACCCTGTCGGCCGCGACCGGTCGGTTGGGCTCTGGGATGCCTTTTACGCAGTGTGGGAGCGGCTCGACCTGGTCCGGCAGGAGCTGAGCGCCGCCCTCGGCCGCGAGATGTCCACCGAGATGGAGCTACACTATGTCAGATACCCAGTCGGCGGCTACTACCGACGACACGTCGATGAGGACCTCGACGCCAACCCGCGTGCCCTCACCCGAGCAATCTCTTTCATCTGCTACTTGAACAAGCCCGGCTGGTGCGCAGCGGACGGCGGAGAGCTGCGCAGCTACCCGCCTGGAGAGCCGCCGAGCGATGTGCTGCCCGAGAGTGGCACGCTAGTGGTCTTTGACTCTGCGCGAGTGGAGCACGAGGTGCAGCCCACCGGCAAGGAGCGGCTGGCGCTCGTCGGCTGGTTCCACGCTCCGGCAGCCGACCCGGGGCAGGCGGACGTGTTCGACGAGCCCGCCTCGCTGCCGGCCGAGGACCCGCTGTGGGAAATGTCCCAGTCATGAGTCGTGAAAATACGGTAAGTCCTCCACTTTCGACCACTTGGCTGAATCGGAAAACATGCGAGATGGAGAAGGAGGCCTGTGCCAGGACCAGTGGACCACATCTGGGTACACTCTCGTGATTTTCATATCACTGGCAGACACTGTACCGCATCAACATATGCTATGACGCGCAGTATGTAGCAGTAGCTCGACAGCGACGCAGCGCGGTGAGAGCTGACCCGACATAGAGATAGAGTCGCGGTAGTTCGTAGGAGCGTGAGAAAACGCGAGAGAGTCTGGCGACAAACGGAAAGAGGGGAACGCGAAGACCGAAGTGTGGGTGTGTGCCCGAGAGGGGATCCTCCCTCGGCTCAAGGCATCGCGCGGCGCTCTCCGCTTCACAAGTTGAGCTGGATCGCGCTCAGCAGCGACTTTTTGCCCTCCGCCGCCGGTGCGGCGCCGGTGTCGAGCTTGATGACCTTGTCGGGAGCCTCGTGCTGCGACACCAGCACCTTGGTCAAGTCGACTCCCATCGCCTTCATCTCCCGCATCGTGGCAAGCAGCTCGGCGGAGTGCGCCTGCTGCTCCGCCAGCCGCTGCTCCGCCGCGCGCGCCTGCCGCTCGATCTCCGCCTGCACGGGGCGGGGCGGGTGATTGCCGCGGGTGGAGAGGAGCGCCGAGGCGGGCCTGCAGAGTGGCGAGGCGAGAGGGTGCGAGGTGCCTCGTCCTGAAGCCGCCTCTCCGCTAGCTGCGCCTTGACCGACACCATCGAGAGCTGCGCCCGCTGCTGCGCCTGCCCCGTCTCGAGCTCCGCCTGCTGCGCCGCACGCCGCGTCTCGGCAGCGAGCGCCGCGTCCGCCTGCCGCTGCTCCTGCGCCTGCGTCTCCTCGAGCAGCCGCAGCCTCGTGCGCTCCTGGATGGCGTTGTCGTGCATCGCCTAGTCGAGGCGGGCGGTCTGTGGGGCGAGCATCTCTCGCGCTGGCGTGGTGCGGCGCCGGCGAGGCGGCGCGCCTGCAGCTTGGCTCCCGCCTGGAAGCCGCGGAAGACCACCTTTGTGATGTCGTATCCGATGTGCTGCGCGCGGACGCAGAGCTGCGCGAACGTGTCCAGCTCGTTGAGCCTGTGCGTCTCGTTGAGGAAGGTCTCATACGAGACGCCCGCGCAGAAGGCGATGACGTCGGCGCTCGCCGCGTTGATGAAGTCGCCGATCGGGTCGTTGGTCGCGTCCAGCATCTTCTCGACGTCCCTCAGCTCAAAGAAGAGCATCAGCTTGACCGTGATGAGAGTGTCGTCGTTGGTCCGCACCTCGCTCACGTTGTGGTAGGCCGAGGCTGGGATGACGCGCAGCTTCGTGAAGCGAAGCGCCTTCGGCTGGTAGGTTGTCTTTGAGCCATCCTGCGGCACGCCGCTCCACTCAAACTCGTGGACCCACTCGTCGGCGCTCGGGATAAAGCGCGCGGGCCCGAGGACCACCCTCCGCTCGACGTGCGGCTCCCCAACCTTGTTGGCCGTGTGGCGGTACACGACCAGCGCCTCAGAGGCGTCGATCAGACGCGCCTCGCGAACGTGCACCGAGATGTCCTCGACGGGGTCAAAGAAGCGGGCGGCGGGTCCGGGCAGAATGATGACTGTGCCGTCACGACGGCGGACCTCGAGGTACTCGACGTTGCCAGCGCTGTGCTTGGGCAGGACCTGAGTGGGGAGATAGGAGTGAGAGCGAGCTACGAGGCACGATGGTGAAGATCGAGCGTGAGCGCCTCGAGCCGCTGAAGGCAGAGGAACAGGCGGCGTGGGCCATCAACGAGTCGCGCGCTGCCATCACGTGACCAGACACAAGCGCGTTCGCCTTCGCGTACGGTCTTCGAGCCGAAGGTCATGACGAGAGTAGGAGGAGAGCGGGAGGAGAGCGCGACGCAGCGACTTCCTGAGCGCGAACACGATGTCGTCGCAAAGACCGCCGGCAAAGACGATGTAGCCGCTGTCGCCGCCGTGGGTCGCGTCCAATCCAAGGACTGGGAAGCCAGAAAAGAATTTAAACGCCCTGGCGGTCAGTGGTGAGGCGAGGCGGAACTGGCCGCGGGCAAGGCGTTGTGAATGCTACGTGTGTAAGGCCGGTACGGAGGGAGGGGTCGCGGGGGGAGACGGGGGGGGGGGGGGGAGCTCACCCAGTCCGGCGCCGTAGCCTTGGGGGTCTCTGGCATAGCGAAGAGCTGCACAGTCACTGGAAGGTGGCAACGGAGCTTCCGGGGTTCTCTTATGAGACCGGCGGGCGGGGACACGAATGGGGTCCCTGAACGTTTCCGCAGGCGAAAGGACAAGACGAATTTTCAAGAGAACTCTCTCTCACAGCGGACAGGCTCGACACAGGTGCGAACTGGCGCGTGCTAGTACTATCACAGGCACACCAGAAAAGAATTTGTCCCGCGGAAATTCGCCATGCGGAGACAGTGAAGGGCGCCTCACCACTTGAATGGCGTTCGCCTCGGCCGGCCTGCCGCCGCCGGCGCTCAACGCTGCCGCTGCCGAGGGCGCGGCGCGCGGCCGCGACGGCGCGCAAGAGGCCGGTGATGGCCAGCCAGAGACTCGGCGTGAAGCGCCGCCTCGACGGCGAGCTCGCGAGCGCGCGCGTCAACGACGACGACGCCAAAGAAGGCGACACCATTACGGTGGACGCCGCACAGATGGCCGCTGCGGCGGCCGCCGGCACCGACCGCGGCACGAAGCGCCTGCTGCACGTCGCGCTCGCGGCGCGCGACGGCAAGCACATCCCGGACATCCAGAACACGACGGCGCTCGTCTCCGAGATTCGACAGCTTCTGAGGAAGACGCCAGGCTGCGAGGCGCAGCCGGCGAGCGCGATCAGCGTGCCCATCATCGGCACGTCGCGGGCCGTCTGCGTCGCCTTCAGCGGCGAGAGCGAGGCACGAGCCTTCCTCGAGCACCACGCCGGCGGTGGCGCCATACAGCTCCCAGCTCCGGATGACATCACCATCCACTTCGTCGCTCTCGACGCCTCCGAGTGGGGCAGGCAGGCGGAGGCGCGCGAGCTCCAGGCGGCGACGGAGTCCGACGGCCTCATCGCCATCCGCACCCGCGGCGCCATCAACACGGCCGCCCAGATCGAGAGCACTTTACCCCTCTGCTCCAGAAGCACTTTGGCAACGTCGTCTCCGTCCAAGAGGGATATCACTCCTTCCTGGGCGCCAAGTCGGACGAGAAGGACGGCTCTATCCTCTTCAAGGTGAAGAACGAGAACCTCGCCTGCAACCTCCCGGTCCTGCCCAACGTCTACGCGAGCGGCGATGTCGGCGGACCTCTCCGCCTTGATGTCGGGGTCAAGGTCCTCGGCAACAAACTCTGCCCCTCCTGCCGCGCATTTGGGTTGACCAACGCCGACATCATCCACGACGCGCAGTGCGCCGCGCAGGCACTCAAGGCCAGGCGCGCCGTAGCGGCGAACGTCGCGAAGAAGAAGACCTTCCAGAGCGTCATCGTCGACAACAAGGTCGAGGCCGCGCGCGCGGCGGGCAGGGTCAAGGCGATGGCGGCGCGCGACGGGATTGGCTTTTGCCCAAACTTCAACCAGACCGCCCTCCCGTGCAAGAACAGCGCTCGCTGCCGCTACGCGCCGTGCGTCAACTTTGAGGCGCTCCTCCACACCGCCTTCAAGGACACCGTCTACGAGCGCATGCAGAGCGCGGTCAGGCTGGGCACGAGCCGCGGGCGGCGCGCAGACCGGCGAGGCGGACGCGGCCGCGGCGGCGGCGGCGGCGAGGTCAAGAGCACCAAGAAGGACTGGGCGAGCGTCGCTCGCGGAGCCGTCCGCTCCCCCTACGACGACGGCCCACGCCTCGAGTCCAACGAGCCCTCGCTCTACGAGGGGAGCGACGAGGAGTTCTAGGAACGGCCGCCGAGCCCTTCCCGCAGCGCAACCCTAGCAGCGCAGCGGGGCAGGGCGGCTCGCGCAGCGCACGCGATCGCGCAAGCTGCGCGCGCGCGCGAGCGAGCGAGCACACACACACACACACACGCGCGCACGCACGCACGCACGCACGCACGCACCTCCCCAGAAATCCCGAGGAGCCGTGCAGTGCCTAGATAAGTCTTTGTCCTCGCTGTGTGGTGCACGCCCTCCGAGCGGTGCGGGGTCTGCCCGTCAGGTTGCTGCCCTAATCCCACCAGGGGTTGTCTGCTCTATTTATTTATGCGGAGACAGTGTTATGGCCCTGCGACAGCGCCCCCCCAGGGTTAGAGCCGTAGGGCTCTCTAGCCCGCAGCCCGATCCCGAGCATCCGGCCCGCTGGGCGCGACGCTTCTCTTGTGTACTTTTATATAGCTCCCCGGCGGCCTGGCGAGACCGAGATGTGAGAGAGGCGATGATGACGTGATGACCGCCGACTCCAAGTGCTGCTGCGGTCGTCCACGTCCTCCAACACCCGCTGTGTCTGAGTCTGTGTGTCCCTCTCACAACAGAAAGATCAAAGAATTTTACAACAAAACGACTTTGTGCCACACGTGTATCGTGTTTCACGACGTGTAAGATCTACATGCACACACATGCACATGCACATGCATAAGAATTCAGATTGCCGATCACAGAAAATCGGGGCTCCTCATTGCGTCGGACTCAGCACACCGGCCAGCCCCGTGACCATCACCAAGAGTCCGAGGGCAACCGCGCAGTGCGCGAGCGGCACGAAGCGGTCGTGCGGGAACGTGCGCGCGTAGATGATGGCCGGCGAAATGATGGAGACGGTGGATGCGCCGAGCGAGCCCGCCACGTCCACCACGATGCCGATCTGCACGCCGGCCGCGGCGAGCGCCGTCGCGACGAGCACAAAGCCGGCGGTCGGGGTGGCGAGGTGTGGGCTGAGCTCGAAGAGGCCTTCGGGCGCTGCCGGCGCGGGCTCGGGGAGGGGGCTCTGCCGGACGGCCCTCGCCGGCGCCCTCCTCCGCCCCGCGCCGCCGCACGCGCGTAGCTCCGACGCGATCGAGGCCGCCGACTGGCGCAGCGCTAGCGCCTATAGGTCGGAGAGGGGTGCAGGGGGGGGGGGGTCTGGCGGGGTGTGTCTGGGTCGTGGGGTGGGCTGCAGGGGTGGGCGGGTGGGTGAAGGGCGCCTGGATCGGGAAGGAGAAGATGACCACGAGGGCGAGGCCCAGCCGTGCCGCCCCGACGGCGAGGGTGGCCGGGTACGACTTGAGGATGTTCCCGGCGACCGCGTCGCCAAAGGTGGCGTAGCCGAGTCCGCCCACGAGCAGGTAGAGGAGCATCGCGGTGCCGAGGGCGCTGGCGTACAGCGCGAGCATGCGCGGCCGCGTCGGCCGCTCCATCTCGTTCCACAGAGTTGGCGTGGACATCTGGCATCCGTATGCCATGACCAGGGTGGGCAGCGCCGCGAGAACGCCCGCCGGAGAGGTGAAGAGCCGCACCTCGCCCGGCGGACACGAGACGGGCGAGGCGGTCCCATCGGCAGGGCACGGGTCGAGGTCGGCGGCAGGGCCGCTCGCCGGGAGGGCGTAGAGGAGCACGAGGCCGGAGATGCCGCCGAGGATCAGCACGGCGAGGAGGGAGGTGAGGCGCAGCGCGTCCAGCGAGCGGAGCAGGGAGAGGGGCGTGATGATGGCGGCGACCACGAGGACCCACGCCTGGTGGCCGGGGGACGCGGCGCCCAGCAGCAGCGGCATGCCCAGCGTCAAGCCATCCGCGGCGACGATCGCGTAGCTGATGCCTGCGCCGAGCGCGTTTGCCACCACGGCGGCGTCCGTCACAAGCGCCAGCGCAGGCCCGCCCGCGGCGACGGCGAGCTTGTTGAAGGAGGCGGGGTGGCCGCCGACGGCCGCGGCGTCCGAGAGGAAGACGTTGGTCCCCACGTTGATCAGCGCGCTCAGCACGATGAGCAGCAGCCCCGGCACGAGGCCGGCGAGCGAGATGCAGCGCGGCAGCGCGAGGAGGCCGGTGCCCATGATTGTGTTGGCCATGTTGAGGATGCTCGAGAAGAGGCTGGCGCCGCCCTCGCCGGACGGATGGCTCACGTCCACGAAGGAGGAGCCCATCCGCACCAGCTGCCCGGGCGGCGAGAGCGGGCCGCCGCGCTGCCACGACGAGGACGAGCGCCGAAGCACGTGCCCGAAGACCTCGTGGGAGTTGCGTCTGCCAAAGACGCGCGTGTGCCGCTCGCTGCGGAGGCTCGCGTCCAGCTTGACCTCGAGCGTGGACTCGGGCAGCTTGGAAGAAGCGGGTGCCATGACACCCACGCCGCCGAGAGCTCCCCCTCCCACTGCTCCCTCTGCTGGCTTCGGCGGCCAGCCCAGGAGCCGCTGCACAAAGCCGCAGCCACGCTCGAGCCGACTCGAGCGGGCGGCCGCCGCCGCGTCCTCGTCTGTGTCCATGTATGTGAACGGCTGTGCGAGCGGTCGAGGCGGCGAGCGGCGGCGGCAGCGACAGGCCAAAGGCAGCGTCGGGAAAAAGAAAATGCGCCGGCGAATGGAGAACTAGGCTCCCGATGTGCTCCTCTGAGAGCGGCCCTGATCGTCCTTCGGCCTTCCAAAATCCTGCTCGTGCAGGTGGGGACCCTCCTGTCCTCCGCTCCTCCCACCCTTCGTTTTGGGTTTTCGGCCTTCTTTCTTTCTTTTCTGGACAACATACAGGTGTGGTGAGCTGAGGGGAAAAGCTCCGCTGTGCGCGCGCCGCCGCAGGCTCCCGGGCGCGTCGCGGGCGGGCCGGGGCGCGGCTCACGGTCTGTCAGGCGCCGCACGCCGCCCACGGCCGGCGCTGGCCGCGCCAATGCGGCCGCAGTCAGCCTGGAGGAGCCTCTGTGGACCGAGGCTCGCAGCATGCCGACTCTTCTTCGGCGAGGAAAGCTTTTCTCCGCACTTTCTTTTTGCTCTCAGTAAGAATTCTGCCGCCGAAAGCGATGGTTTTCGTGAAGAGTCGGTGCTGGGGCGAGCGCAGTGAGACAAGCACTTCTTTCTTCTTTGCACAGCAGGCGGGAGTGTTTCCTCGCCGGGCAATCACGCCGTCGATTTCTTTTTCCTCTATTGCGGAAAACCGACAACTCTGTCTGGTATTAGCCCCAGCCTCTACTCCGCGTGAACTCTCGAGGTACGAGGATCTCGATTTGCGAACTCTGTTCACAGCCTTGTTATTGAGAAGAAAATACGTCCTATGGCGCTGTGCGCTGGTCTGTGAGAGGTTGAGGTGCGAGCCCTGGAGGCCCTGGGGATGGGGGCGGGGAGACTACCCGCGGCGCGCGGGCCTAGAAGGCCCGCGCGCAGGGGGGTGGGACATTGAGACCGGTCATGAATGAGTGCGCGACACGCATGTTGCGAGCAGCGTTGTTGATGTTCTGCGCGTCGCCACAGACGGCGGCGCGCGAGAGCTGTTGCGAGTGGTGCTGGGCGAAGCCCCGGGCGCTGCCGGAGGCTGTGCCGTAGTCGGTGCGGTCGACGGCACTCGGGCTGCCGACCTCTTTGGCGAAGTTGTGGATGATTCTCTTGGTCGGCGGCGCGATGCCGCCCTGGCTTTCGACGAGACAAATTTTGACGATTCCGTTCTTGACATGGAGCGCGTCGTAGTACTGTCCCTTGTGCTCTTTGACCCAGCCTTTGCCGGTCGCATGGACGAGCGGGCCCTGTGACTTGTGGCCGCGCTCTTTGCACCCAAGAACCCTGAGCAAGGTTTGGTCGAGGCAGGGTGCCGTCGAAACCAAATTTGTGGCCCAGTGACGCATTGGCTCTTCCAGCATCCGCCGTGTGCCGCCGAGCCCTGCCCAGCTTGCCTCTCGTCTTTTGAGGGCGCTAGGCACCTTGACTTCGTAGTTCACAGCCTTGTTATTGAGAAGAAAATACGTCCTATGGCGCTGTGCGCTGGTCTGTGAGAGGTTGAGGTGCGAGCCCTGACACCTAGCAGCGAGGAGCGGCTGTAGGTGCTGGCGGGCGGGGCAGACAGCCGACAAACAGTCCTGTTCCTGATTCATGGCGGTGGCCTCGCCTCTACTCATACTGCTCTCGTCCACGGCGCTGCGTCCGACGACGCGGTCGGAGAGGCCTCGCCAGTCGGCCGATCGCCGCCGCGTGCTCGCCGTTGCGCTGGGAGCGGCGGTGGCCCGGCTGCCGCTGCGAGGCGAGACCATCCCTCCGATTGAGGCGCTCCTGCCGCCGGAGCAGCTAAATGCGGCCCAATCGGCGGCGGCGGTGCAGACGCCGCCAGCCACGGTCTACTCGCCGCCCACCGTGAAGGGTGCGTCCAGTCCGAGGGCGCTCGCACTCGCGCGCCAGCTCAAGGCGAAGGGAGCAAAAATGTACGGCGCGCACTGGTGCAGTCACTGCTTTAGCCAAAAGTGCGCAGTCGCCGTCGCGTGACGACGATGAAAAAGTGAAAACCTGAGCGCGCGGCGCTTCTCGACCGATAGGCAGCTTTTTGGCGCGCCGGCCAACCGGCTCATCGATTACGTCGAGTGCGCGGCCGACGGGTACAAGTCGCAGCGCGGCTTGTGCCAGGCCAAGGAGATCAAGGGCTATCCGACGTGGGAGATTGGCGGCCGTTTCTTCCGCGGCGAAAAGACGCTCGACGAGCTCGAGGAGATCCTCGAGGGATGAGAGAGAGCGGCAGAGCTGCTGGGGGCGGCTGCTGGTGCTAGTGGTGCTGCGCGAACGCGTCAGCGACAGCCGTCCGCGCCGGGTGGCGTGTAGCATTTCGATACGATATTGATGCACTGTACAGGTAGTGAAGGCTCCGGCTCAGGTCAGGAGGGCCCAGCCACTCGAGGGTCCTGTGTGTAAAAACGGGCATCCCCGAGTGTGTCTTCAAACCAAAAAGGGTGTGAATAGAGCTGTCTTGATGGTGCTGAGGACGAAGACACCTCAAACTTTGTTGAAGCCGAGAGTTTTTATAGTTTTCATTAGCTGTGAATGGTTTATGCGCCCGCCGCAGCCCGCCCTGTTCCTCGTGGCCACGCCGCCACGGGCCACGAGAGCCCTGGAAGAGCCCAGCTGGCATGTTCAATCGTCCGGGTGGTGGGCTGTTTGCACGCAGACGTCTCGTCGCCGTGGCCGACGCATGGCTGGTCCGACGTGTGGAGGATTTGACCTCAGCTCGGCCGTCGGTGTCGGTGGGCTGACGGCGGCCGCCGGAATCGCGATTCGCTCTGCCAGCTGCCAGCAGCCTCGCGTCGCCGCTCTCGTTGGCGCAGCAGCAGCGATTGGCCTTTGCGCCGTCGCGTCAGTCTTCTGCTCTCACGCACTCGCCGCGCGCGGATTGTGCGCCAAGAAGGACACATGCTCATGCAAACAGTGCGAGAACTTGGTTACGCCGCTTAGTCGTTAGTGGCGGCGCTGCTTTAGAGGAAGCGGCAGCGTGGGAAGCAAAGCAGATGGAGGCGGCGCCCGCGGCATGCCAAGGAGCCGCTGCTGGCGGAGGTTGAGCGGCTAAGTGTAGCAAGGGCCAAGGGCAAGAAGGGCAAGAAGAAAAAGAAGAATGTGGGCGTGGGCGATGCGGGCGCCGCTAGGCTCAACGAGGAGATGCTGTGCAGTTAGAGAGCTCGTAGTGAGCTCGATTTTGATGATAATTTGATGAGAAATATCTCAATTTTGAGCAAAAAACGGCCAAAAAATCGGCGCCTGCGGTGGGCCAGCCTCCGGCGGCGCCTGCGGCGGGCCACTGGGGCTACCGCCCCAGACCCCGTTTACACATGAGCTATGCCCCACGACCTGAGCCGGAGCCGTCAACGCCATCCTAACACGTAAAAGGTAAAACGAGATGAGCTCTTCCTCGGCCGCGCGAGCTCAGCACACACACACACGTGCTAAAATATTAATTTAAATATCACACGCTGTGTGCCTGTGGATGGAGTGGATGGAGGATATGTGGTTCTCGGGTCCGTTGGCCTCTTTCGTAGGGAAGAATTTTGATACCCGTCAAGACGCCTGCTGGGGGCAGCTTCGCGATGAAGCCGTCTGCTCCCCCCAGCAAGGCACACACAAGACAGATAGGAGGAGAAAGGGGATGGTGGTGGGTTCGACGAGGCGAGAGAGCGCGCACAGACTGACGTCAGCTACGCTCCTGAAGGACACCTCTGAAAGGCACCTTCGTCTGAGGACGGCGTCTGAAGACGACGGCCTCTGGTCAGATTCGGTCTCGTCGCTAGACTCCGATTTCTCTTTGTCAGGCCATGTGCCGCTCGCTCGTCCGCCCAAGTGACTTGGACGCGCGGTCGAGGGCACCCCACCGTTCCTGGGGCGCGCTGGCGCTCACCGCTGGCGCTCACCAGCGGTCACCCCCCACCCATCCACCCTTTTGTCTTTGAGGCTGTCGCTCCGAGAAAACTTGTCTCGCAGCTGCGAGAAATTACCTTCTCGGGTCCGTTGGCCTCTTTCGTAGGGAAGAATTTTGATACCCGTCAAGACGCCTGCTGGGGGCAGCTTCGCGATGAAGCCGTCTGCTCCCCACTTGTCAACAGCAGGCGCTGGCGCCATCAACGTATCAACGTTCCTCCCACATGATGTTGACAGGGTGGGCGGGTGGTCCATCCATTTGCTCCAAGGTAATCGCAAGCAGACCGCATGGCTTGGCTGCGACGGCGACTGACAGAACTGCGAGAACTGCGACGGCGACTGCCAGGACTGCGATCCGCCTCGGGCATACAGGTAGTGCAGCGGGCACGCGGTCGAACACGCCTTCAGAGCGCGCGCCGAAGCGAGCACCAACACCGCTCGTCGAGCCGCCGTCGATGGCGGTGGCGGCAGCCCCGCCGGCGCCCTCGAGAGTGGCCCAGCCGCACACACACGCGAGCGCTCGCCGCCCCCCCCCTCAAAGAGGCGGGGTGGTGACGGGCGCCCGCGGCTGGTGCACGAGCGGCGATGGTGTTGCCCGCCCGCCGAGCCGCGCGTGGGCAGCGCAGGGGCAGCGCGAGCAGCCACACATGGTGCGGTAGCATCGCCACGCCCGGTCTGCCGCGGCGGCGGCAGCTTTGATCCCCCCCCCAAATGGGGTACGAATTCCAGGCGAAATCGCTGGGGGTATATAGGTCGCGAAAACGAA